CACACACACACACACACACACAGAGTCTATGAGTCTCCAAGGAAGTCATATATATAATATGTACACACACATATATAGTTTAACATATATTTACCCATGGCCTCTTTATACAAATAGCATTTTATGGGAGTCATGTTTTGTAAGACAGCAATGTGAAAAGTGGATTTAGAGTGATAAATCAATATAATCTATTATGGATTACATTGATAATAAAATATACAATAAATATAATCTATTGTGATTTAATCTGAGTACTTGCAACCAAGGGTCTCATCTTTACAAACTGAGAATCCCCTGGAATTTATCATGTCTGCTTTTTTCTTACTCTAAAATCCTTATATGCATTAGCATATCTTTAGTCTAATATCCTTATATTTCTTAGTCTAATATCCTTATATTTCTTAGTCTAATATCTTTATATTTCTTAGTCTAGTATGCTAATGCATATAAGGATATGTGAACTAGGATATAAGGATATATGATATTATATAGAATATAAGGATATATGAACCAGCAGAATGTCGATGTGGGACACATAAGAAGGCAATACTCATCAGGGAGCTGTCACAGAAACAGGTCAAATAAATTTAAAAACTCAGAGTATTATTAAGAGAGGTTCCTGAATCAAGCACCCTTACCCAACAATTATAGTTACTACTATAAGGCTTGGATAGGCAAAGCAGGTCAGAATACCCCTCATAAGAGGTGCTGGAAGACAGGCTGTTTAGATTCGACTTGACATTCCTTCCTAAATGGAACACGTAGAGACTCCTCTTGCTGGGGTGTGTCATCCTTCTATATCCAGATCCATATAACACAGGGGAGTGAAACAAAGGCAGCTGATGGGCTGTATGTCATGGTTACAAAAGGCAATCTGTCATGGCTAGTATATCCTTGTGCCATCCCTTGGGGCTGGATCCCAGCTCTTTCTATAAGGAGCACATTGTGCTAGCTCACAGCCCTCTTCCCCTGCAACATGAGAACACCCACAGGTTTAGCCATTTTGGAAGAGAGCTGGATCTGCTCCAGCACAAGGGCCCCAGGTTTTTTTTACCGGTGATTGTGATTCAGAGGCCTCAAAATGCCAACCACTCAGCAGAAATGAGAGCATGTAAACTGTCAAAGCCTTGAGAGAGAAGACCAAATTTTACACATTTCGCTACTACTTTGCCATAAAATATAATCCCAAGGTAAGGACCTGATCAACATTCAAAGCTTACTCTCGGTGAGGAATGATGAAGTGGAATAAAATCAAACCAGTGAAGCAATATGTAATATAAAATAGTGAGTCAATTTGGCGTAGTCATTAAAATTAAATAACATGGCCAGGTGCGGTGGCCCACTCCTGTAATCCCAGCACTTTGGGAAGCCGAGGCGAGTGGAACACCAGGAGTAAGGAGTGCGAGACCAGCCTGACCAAAATGGTGAAACCTCGTCTCTACTAAAAATACAAAAAATTAGGTGTGGCGGCTTGCGCCTGTAACCCCAGCTATTCCAGAGACTGGGGCAGGAGAATCCCTTGAACCCAGGAGGTGGATGTTGCAATGAGTCAAGGTCGCGCCATTATACTCCAGTCTGGGCAACAAGAGTGAAACTCAGTCTCAGGGGGAAAAAAAAAAAAATTAAATAACGTATTCATTTACTCCTTCATCCATCCATTTTATTGGCATTTATAAAAACCTCCATGCCAGGTCTCAGAGAAACAGAAATGAAAATGAGTAAGTTTCTCTTTTGAAAGAATCCAACCAGTCTGGCTGTTTTTTAAACTTTAGAATGTGTATGAACCACTCGTAATGATGGTTTAAAAATGCAGATTTCCGGGCCACGCACCCCACAATAGATTCTTCTTCAGCTGGGCAGTGGTGAGGTCTAAGAGTTTTCAGTGTGAGGTCTAAGAGTCTTCAGTGTTTTTCATGGTGATTATGACGCCTGTGGTCTATGGGCCATACTTAGAAAAACACTAATTAGACACATAGAAGCCAGAGGACCCCCATAAAACCAGCCTGAATGGACTGAGTGGTTAAGAGCATAGTCTTCGTATGCATTTCCGAGAGTCAGGCACCCTGAGTTCAGATTCTGCCTCCATGACCATCTGTTTGATATTGGGCAAATTACTTGACTTCTGTAAGACCCAGTTTTATTTTAAATAAAATGGGGACAATATTTCCCATCCTTTTCTTTCTTTTCTTTTTCTTTTTCTTTTCTTTTCTTTCTTTCTTTTCTTTCTTTCTTTCTCTTTCTCTCTCTCTCTCTCTTCTCTTTCTCAATCTCTCTCTTCTTTCTTTTCTTCTTTTCTTTTCTTTTCTTTTCTTTCTCTCTTTCTCTTTCTGTCTTCCTTTCTTTCTGACAGAGTTTCACTCTGTCGCCCAGGCTGGCATGCAGTGGTGGTGCTATCACAGCTCACTGGAGCCTCAACCTCCTGGGCCCAGGTGATCCTCTTACCTCAGCCCCATGAGTAGCGGGGACTACAGGTGCATGTCACCATGCCTGGCTAATTTTTTGTATTTTTTTTAGAAACAGGGTTTTCCATATTTCCCAGGCTGGTCTCATACTCCTGGACTGAAGTGATCAGCCCGCCTCAGGCTTCCAAAGTGCTGGGATTACAGGCATGAGCCACCATGCCCAGTCCAATATTTCCTATCTTTTAGAATTATTTTGAGAATAAAATGAAGTAATGTATGTCTGGCACATTATTTGGTACAGAATAGATGCTCAATACATAGTTGCAATAGCAATAATTATTGCTTCTGAAGGTGATATTATTATTGCTGCCATAGAGTTGCACCAGAATTAAGCTATATTAATCTATGTTAATTTAGATGTCAATATATTATGTTACTATACAGTAACAAAACAGATTAGCAGGGAGGGTGTATTTTCTAAAATAATTTGAAGATCTGTATTTTATAAGTCACTGTAAAAGGAAGCCCTCCTGAATAATGTTCCCCTTGGTTGTTTTTGCAAAGTTGTTTTTTGCTTTAAATTTAAGTAGTTTCAAAGACAAATAAGAAATACTCATAATCTTTTTCTCTCTACAATGTTCACAATTTTTTAAAAAGTTTAAATAATAATATCTGTCTTATGATAAGGTAATACTGGATATAGAAAATTTAGAAAGTGTGAAAAACACTTTAAAAATGAGAAAATAATCATCTAACTATAATTAAAATTTGATGTTTAGGCTTTTTTTTTCTATTATGGTTCGTGTCATCATTGAACTCAAAATACATGCACAATTTGAATTCTGTTTTTCCGTATGTATTATGTAGCAGGAATTTTCACATATCACACATAAGCATAATATTAATGACTGAATAATTCCATTTTTCTCACCCATAATTTAGGTCACCAGTCTCTTACTTTGGGAAATTTTACTGTCGTAATATATACAATAAGAAATAATTTTATACCGAGTGTTTATATATACATCATTTTTCTTTTAGATAGATTCCTGAAAACAAAATTACTGAGTGAAGGTTATGAATACTTTTAAATTTATAAGACATGTTAACAATTTTTTTTCATAAAGGTTTTGCCAATGACAAACTCCACCATCAGAAAAAAGTACCAATCTATCTAATAACTAGAGATACTAAATGTGCTTTGATTAATTTATTGGCCATTATATTTCTTTTCTACAAATTATCTATTCCCTCTTTCGTCCAGTTATCTACTGGAAACTTGATTGATTGTTTTCTCTGTTCCTTTCCATTCATTCCCTCCTTTCTTCTTTCCTTCTATCTTTTCTTTTCTTACTAAAAAGTCATTTTAGATTTTTCATGGAATGAATGTTGTATAATTCAGTATTCTACTGGTTAAAGCACAGTCTAGAAGTATGTTTCTGCTCTCTCTCACAGCAGTGTTATAAAAAGATTACACCAAATTTCACTTCATAGAATTTATCTTTGATGACAAATATATTAAATTTCCTTTCCCAGGCAGATCCCAAATGTGGCAGCTTTTACTGGCAGCATGCTGGATGCTTCCTCTTGGATCTATGTATGGTTATGATAAGAAAGGAAACAACGCAAACCCTGAAGCTAATATGAATATTGTAAGTCATTTGTTAAGAAAAAATGCTAAAATGAGGAATTATTCATATTTCAGCATTTGAAATACAACTGGGGTGCCTTCTCAGTTTTCAACAATTCCTCCAGTGACTAAATCTATGCTTCCTCTCCTGTTTCTTTATATGGCTAACTAATCTAAGAATTCAAAGATCTGACCCAAGTTGGGGCAGTAATATTCCATCTCCTAGTTTGAACTACTATCCAGTGGTGGCTTCCTAAAGAGAAGGTTCATGACTCAATACAGTGATCTCTATAGAGTATCTTTGAGTTTTCCCTGCGGTTTTTCATAGAGAAGTTTCTTTGATTTTGTGAACTATCCCAATGCACTTTTTTGGTTTAATAAGCCAGTGTTGGTTTCTTTTGTTTATTACCAAAGTGTTTTAACATTCAGGAATTCATATCAGAAGTGGAATGGAATAGTGTTAGGCAAAGAAAAAAAGGCCAAATGACAAAAATCTACTACAGAATTCATTCTGATAATATACTCCATTTTCCTATATAAACGGTGCACAATTGATTTCCTGTACCATATGTAAGTTGTATTAGAACCATAAAAATAATGAAACTGCCGAAGTTTTTTTTCATTAGTATCTCTTCTTGTTTCTCTCTCCAAAGTATCAAGCAAGTACCCTTGATCTCGTACCACACTGTTGAACTCACATAATTTTTCTCTCTCTAGTATAAGTGATTTTTAGCTTTTAATCCTTCTATAATGATAATAAGAACAATCATCTATAAAGCACTTATGTTAGGCATTGTTCTACACATATTACATATAATCCTCACAATGTCACAGTCTGTCTCCAGAGCCTGGGCTCTTCGCCGCTGCTCTATGTAGCCCATAATTTATACATGCATCTCTGTGTCTGACTTGGGAAAATGCATAATCCTTTGATAAAAGCATAAGCTTTGGAGTTAAACTTACTTTAGCATTAATCTGATTTTTATCTCTTCCTAGTATATAATCTTGGACAAATTGTTAATCTACCTGAATGTCAGTTTTCTCAACTGTAAATGGTATAATTCTATCTCAAAGGCCTCTTATAAGGTTAATGAGACAAGGAATGTAAACCTCTATGCAGAAGATAACCAATAATCACTAGTTCTCCTCTTCTTTGTATATCTGTGGGTGGGGTATCTTCTCTGACCCCTCTAGGCTCACTCTTTGCTCTTTAACACCTTTCTGTCTGCCAAGAGGCTGAACTGTAAGGACAGGTCAACAAGCAACCTTGCCTTTTGGTGTTTTCAGTTCAATTCAGCCAATGGACATTGTGAGCAGAAGATGGAAAGAAATAGGCCAGTAACGTTTGACTTTTTATTGTCCTGGCTTCCTCCCTGTGAAGTCAACTTAGACAAGCTGTCTTCCTCAATTTGGTTATCTCAGCTTGACTTTCTCCTTTCGGCTTCCGGTAACTGCTTCCTCCCCTCTTCTTTTAAGTCTGTTTGGTAATAGTTCACTTGTTATTAGCCACAGGGTACTCCACAATTCCCTGTGGTTTCCCTCATTAGATAACCATATAATTTTTCATCAAAACAAACTAGGGTGCTTTAATAATACCAGGCCAACAGGCAAAACCAGAAAGTGTCCTGAGCAAACAAGAATGTAGGGTCACCCCACCCAGACTTACCTATGCCTCTTTATGTAACTCCTAGAAATCCCTTTTAAATTATACTCATAGGAATATTACATGCCGTCACAGCACATAGAGTGATAAGCAGTAGGTGCAATTTAAAGTACTACATTGTGGCCAGGCATGGAGGCTCACACCTATAATCCTAGCACTTTGGGAGGCCAAGGCAGGGGAGTGAATGCCTTGAATTTAGGAGTTCAAGACCAGCCTGGGAAACATGGTGAAACCCCGTCTCTATAAAAACATACAAAAAATTTAGCTGGGCATTGGGGCAGGTGCCTGTACTTCCAGGTACTTGGATGACTGAGGTGGGAGGATCACTTGAGCCCAGGAGGCGAAGGCTGCAGTAAGCCAAGATCACACCACTGCACTCCAGCCTGGGGAACAGAGTGAGACCCGTCTCAAACAAATAAACAAACAAAGTACTATATTGTAATGCATGTGTAAAAATTAAGAGATTATAAAATGAAGGTATATATTTCCTTTCCTCTTTTTAGAGCCAGATTATTTCTTACTGGGGATATCCTTATGAAGAGTATGATGTTACAACAAAAGATGGTTATATCCTTGGAATTTATAGGATTCCACATGGAAGAGGATGCCCAGGGAGGACAGGTATTATTTATTTTGTTATAAAAGGAAAAATACTTAAAGCAGAGGTACTTAAATGTCCTGGGAGAAGTCAAGCAGTTTCTGTTCTGAAATCCTTAGCTGTCCTTTCCATTAGAGGAGAAAAATCATCACCCTCCACCTCTCTGTTTAATTAGTATAACTTTGAAGTTTTAAGTCACTTTTACATACATTGTTTATTTGGTCACTCCTTTTCTTCATGACTTCGTCTTCCTACCAAGCAAACACCAAAACACATCGTGTTCTTACCCTAGTGATACCACTGTCCCGTTTTGAAAATCAGAAAACTAGGGGTTATTCTTGATACCACCTTCTCCCTCACCTTCTACATGCAACCTAACATTGCCATCTATCAATTTTGCCTTCTAAATTTCTCTCTAGTCTGAAAACTTTTAGCTTCAATAATCATTCAAACCCAGGTTTGGACATAATGTCTTCAACTACTACGATGCCTTCTCACTGGTATTAAACCATTTGTAGTCAGTTCTGGACCCAAGTCTGTGTGATTTCATGGTTTAAAGTAAATATTACCCTATTAGCTCCCACCTAGCAACAGCTTCCCAGCTTGTCAAATCACCATCTGGTTGAGCCTACCTTCCTTCACTCCAGCCTCCACCATGTCCATCAGGGTGACCTAGAAGTCTGCCTTCAGCAGCTGTTGGTACAGGAGTATACCCAGTGCTTGTATCAGTTCCTCGAGCTTCTTTCAGGTGGGCAGCAGCTTTCTGGGTGGCCTGGGCACCAGTATGGGTCTGGGTGAGGTCTATGCTGGGGCTGGTGGTATGGGAGGCATCACAGTTATCACTGTGACTCGGAGTCTGCTGAGTTCCCTAAAACTGGTGGTGGATCCCAACATCCATGCTGTGAACATCCAGGAGAAGAAGCAGATCAAGACCCTGAACAACTTTGCCTCCTTCATTGACAAAGTATGGTTCCTGGAGCAGCAGATCAAGATGCTGGAGACCATGTGGAGCCTGCAGCAGCAGAAGACAGCTGGGATCAACGTGGACAACATGGAGAGCCGCATCAACCACCTTCTGCGGCAGCTGGACACATGGGACCAGAAGCTGAAGCTGGACGTGGAGCTTGGCAACATGCAGGGGCTAGTGGAGGACTTCAAAAGTACCAGGATGAGATCAACAAGCATACAGAGATGGAGAATGAATTTTCCTCATCAAGAAGGATGTGGATAACGCTTACATGAACAACGCAGAACAAGTAGTCTCGCCTAGAAGGGCTGCCCCAGGAGAATAGAAGATCCGTGAGCTGCAGTCCCAGATCTCGGTCACATCTGTGGGCCTGTCCATGGACAATAGCCGAGTCCTGGACATGGACGGCATCATCTCGAGGTATCCGCCCAGTACCAGGAGATCGCCAGCCGCAGCTGCGCCAAGTCTGACAGCATGCACCACCAGATCGAGTATGAGGAACTGCAGGCCCTGGCTGGGAAGGCTGAGAATGAGCTGTATCGCAGGAAGAGGATCTTCCAGATGAACCGAAACATCAGCCGATTCCAGGATGAGACTGAAGGCCTCAAAGGCCAGAGAATGCGGAGCAGCGTGAGTCCTTTGCCCTTAAGGACACAACGCTGAGCCTGCAGAGCTGGAGGCCACTCTGTAGCGGATCAAACAGGACGGGGGGCCGTAGCTTCTCCAGAACTTGGAGCTGATGAATGTCAAGCGGGCCTTGAGCATCGAGAGCGCCACCTACAGGAAGCTGCTGGAGGGCAAGGAGAGCCCGCTGGAGTCTGGGACGCAGAGCAGGTGTATCCATAGGAGTACCAGCAGTGGCTAACCCGGTGGACTGGGCTCGGCCTCACAAGCTCTGGCCTCAGCTATGGCCTGGACTCCTTTCAGTCCAGCTTTGGCTTTGGCGGGGGCTCCGGCTCTTTCAGCCGCACCAGCTCCTGCAGGGCCATAGTTGTGAAGAAGACTGAGACCTGTATTGGGAAGTTGGTATCTGAGTCCTCTGATGTCCTGCCCGAGTGAATGTCCACGGCAGCACTTCTCAGCTTACCCTTCCTGTGGCTGCCCCACATCCTGCTGCGGAGGCAGCTGTGCAGGGGAGCATGGGCAACTGGAGACCCACCTGACGCTCAGCCCTAGCTCTCAGCCTAGAAGGATAGTTTACTGCCTAGAGTACACCACTTGCCCTTGCCTCCAATTAAAAAACCAATTCTTTTTTTTTGTTTGTTTGTTTTTTTCTAAAATAGAGCCTCAGGTATCCTTAGGAATCGCTGCAAAAAATACCCTATTCATTCATATCAGTTCTGTGCTTAAACTTCATTAAAGCGTCAGTTCTAGCTCCCTACAATGCAGGTGGCTATCCATAGGTGGAAAAAAGTGAGCATTTCATTCTCTAGAAACTATTTGCTTTTGTTTTCTTCTCTCTCTTCTTAGTTCATTTTACACTTTGGCAGGTCGAATAACAAAACTTCTCAATATCAGAAAGACTACTTATTTAAAGAAAAACTAGATTTTTAAAGAGTGGAAGATATAATGGTGTTGCTGGCTTTACAGAGCCAATCATTTCCCAAAATAACTCCATAATTACAAATAACTTTGTAAATACTCGAGAGAACTTTTAAGTCTCTCCAAGCTTTTCTCTTTTCATTTCTATCACAGTTCCCAAAATGCATGAGACAAAAAGCTGTACAATGAGAAACTGTCTCTAATCTGAGATCCCTGGATCTGTCTCAGACTCAGATCACAGAGGCCTGATGATACTTAACTATTTAATGGTACTAAACTTTGGCAAAGTCAGTAACACCTCTTCTTTCCCTCTATTCCAAAAGGTGGAAAAATGGACATAGACTCTTAGTTCCTTGGTCCCGGTGGCTGAAGGCTCTCTGAGAGTACAACTTACTCTCAGGAAGCCACTCTAGCTCCAAAAGTGACCTGAGGTAGGGTCCTGAGATACCAACACAGCATCACAAACCATTTATAAAGCAGAGGAAAAGCCTAATCACTTCTTCCCTCTCTTCTCTCTTTTTCAACACTTTCTCACTTCCTTCTTTTTCCTTTCTCTTTCTTAGTTAAAATGTCCCTATTTGACATTGGGAATAGGATTTTTGTATCATATTAACAATTTTAAGCTATAAAGTTCTACTTATATCCTTGTTTTTTGCAATTCAAATGAAATGAAGCAGTGCCTATAAAAATTAGCATAGTGCTTGACATTCAGTGAGCATTCAACAAATGGCATTTTTATTATTTTTATTATTTTGAAAAAAATTTAAATTTTTAATCAGATGAGTCTTGAAAAATATAATGCTATTAATATAAATAACAGTAATAGAGCTAATATTTACTGTGCCAGATGGCCTTTTATATGTTTAAGTTCTCAATGAATTCTTATAAATACACGAGGAGATAGCATTTGTTATTATTTCCCATTATACAGATAGGTTAACTGAGGCACAAAGGAGTTCATGCATATCAGAAGGGATTTTGAACTAGGGCAATCTAACTTCCACACGTAAATAATACAATACATTATATATAACCCTTTACAAATGAGAAAATAAGACCGAGAGAACTTAAATAACTTACCCAAGTAAGTAGCTCAGAAGGGACTAGATCCCAGATTTGCCTGGCATCAGATTTTACCTCTTAACCTCTCTTCTATACTACAGAAATTCAGGAATGAGATTTTTCTTGTAGACACTGAGGAAGTTCAGACATGAAATTCTTGTTGCCTGTGTTTTGCAGCTCCAAAGCCTGCTGTGTATTTGCAGCATGGCCTAATTGCATCTGCCAGTAACTGGATTTGCAACCTGCCCAACAACAGCCTGGCTTTCCTTCTGGCAGATAGTGGCTATGATGTGTGGTTGGGGAACAGCCGAGGAAACACTTGGTCCAGAAAACACCTTAAATTGTCGCCCGAATCACCAGAATACTGGGCCTTCAGGTAAGGAGAAACCTATTAACGAATACAGTGTGTACTCTGCTCATGTATATGTATGAACACCTAGTGATTTTTGCCCTTTTTGGGTCCAAATGCACGCAGTGGAATCCACAAGAAGGAAACAAACCTTTCTTTCTCTACCCAGACTTTCTTCACAGGCTCTAAAGAACTGTCATTATTATTGCATGACTGTTTTAGAATTCCTGCCTCCTTCCCGGTATCTGTGTGTGGGTGAGTGTGTGTATGTATGTTCTAAGGGAAGTAAGAAGAAAGCCTGATTACAGAATGGCTAAGCAACAGTGTTGCCAGCAGCAGCGCCAGGGATTGCTGTCTGCTTCAGAAGCTACGCCTACCTGGTTACAGGAGCAAACCCATGCACTGGCATAGGAGCTAAGAACCATGCCTTGGAGGTCATGAAAACCCTGTGTTCCTTGGCTTCATTGCCAGCCTTCTTTCTGGAAAGCACTGGTATTTCCTAATTCTATAACCATAATCCATTGCACCCTTGCAAATGACTAGAAAATTCCCTAGGTAAGTATTTATTAAACTATATACAGGATCAGAAGTAACTGAGGTCATTGTTAAATATGCGGATTACTGGGTCTCTTCCCAGGAAATTCTGATTCAGTCAGTCGGCTGAGGTCTGCAAATCTGTTTGCTTTATTATTCTTTTAGATAAGCATTCCAGGTAATTGCTCTTTTCATAGGAGCTTGGTAAACCTGTTATAGAATTAAGTGAATATGACTAGCCTTGCAAGAAAAGCATCAGTAGGCCTTGACAAATCAAATTTTTCTGATTTCAGTTTCTTAAAAATGTTGACTTGCAATCAAGGCGTTGCACCCTTTAAAGTTGCATAGATGCCTAATATCATATATTGACACTAGTCTTATATTTTACAAAATCAAAGTATTTATGTTTTCACTGAATGTGTTTAAATGTTCTAGGCCTAACAATGAGATGACTTTTCTAATTTGTTATTCTTTCTTTTTGATAGTTTGGATGAGATGGCTAAATATGACCTTCCAGCCACAATCAGTTTTATCATAGAGAAAACAGGACAGAAGCGACTCTACTACGTGGGTCACTCACAAGGCACCACCATAGGTGTGTTTGGGGCAGATGTGATCAGAGAATGTCAGGGGCTCTTCTTGCATATTCATGGAAGGGGGTCAGTATTTCTTCTGTCTGTGCAATCTCTAGCTTGAGGGCTTGACTTGGGAAACCATTTCCTCTGGCTAATTTCTGAAGAGTAAATAAAATAAGAATGACAATAGAGAATTTTCCCTCAATACTAAATTTGGAGGTTGATACATAAGCCTGAAAGAGGGAGAATTATTCATATATTCGTTTGTGCTACCAACAAACATTTGTCAGACACTGTTATATGCTGAGGAAGCAGAGATAAATATGGTATTCATTCTTTCCTTGAAGATCTCACAGTCTAGTGAGGGACACTAGAAAGAAAGCAGAGATTACAAAACTCAGCAATTATATGCTACAATCAGTATGACTTTTAGTTGCCAGGGAGGCATTGGAGTAGGCCAGATGTGGGTAGGGCTATGTTGGCAGTGTTATGAGGCCTATTTGTCCCCTTACTGTTCTCACTTTGGCTAGAGGCCTTAACACTACCAACAGGATTTCCATCAGTCCGTTTTCTATATCTTAATTATAATCAGGATTCTGGTGTAAAGCAGGTCTGTACATACTTGTACTGTATCACACATCTCACATACATTCTCTTATTGGAAACTGCAAACATCTGAAACCACTATCATCCATGCTCCACAAATGGTTGAATTGAGGAATCTGTTCTAATGGTGATATTCCCAAGTAACATCTTACATTTCGTATCTTTAATAAAGATTACAGACACAAAGGTTATAAAGGTCAAGTGCATATAACTTACATACATTTGACTTTTATAAAAATCATCCTATAAGGATTTTACCATTCACACTTACAGACTGAGAAAACCGAGACTCACACAGGGAAGTAAATAGGAAGTAGGAAATAGGAAGTAAATAGGAAGCCAAATTTACAGCCCAGTTTTGTCTGATACCAGGACTATCGTCAAGCTGGAATGGGCTTTGGAGTTTACCTAGACATGCCCCACAGTAGATATTTGAACCCTCTCTCCTTGCACTCCCCAGGGACAGGAAACACTTTATTCTGAATTAGCCAATTCCACCCTTGAGAAATTGAGAAATTCTTCTCTACAAATGGTAATAATTCTATGTTGTTTTTTGTTTTGTTTTTAACATGGCTACATTTACTACAACTTACAATGAAGAAATAATTATGTGAAAACTATGAACTAGTGTCTTCTTCCATTTCAGCTTTTATAGCATTTTCTACAAACCCAGAACTGGCTAAAAGGATTAAGATATTTTTTGCACTGGCTCCAGTTGTCACACTGAAATACACCCGAAGTCCTATGAAAAAACTAACAACTCTTTCCAGGCAAGTAGTCAAGGTATGTGACTTCCCAAGTTTTAATCTGAAATAACTAAAAGTAGCTTTATTTCCACTGATTTCAACAGAAAACCAATGACATTTTACAAACTTCTGAGAAAATAATAGGTATTCAAGATAATCCATATAAGTTCACTGATGATGTACGCAATCTTATTAGCAGAGTTCAGGGAACTCCCCCTGTTGTTAATCTACCCTACTTTCTTCAACTATGTCTAGAAACATGTCTCCTGTATCATTCCTCAACCACAGATAGAGAGAGCTTATTTGATTGATTGGTTTGTTGAATTTAGCGGATTAAATTTTTCTGGTGATCCCTAATTTTTTAGGGGCAGTAGTGGTTGAGTTCACAGCATGGAATCAGATGGTGTGGGTTTGAATCTCATTTGTATGATTTGCAAGCTGGGTAAATCTGGTCAAGACCTTAAGTGCTCTTCATCTGTAACGTGGGGATAATAATACTTCTCACTCATGGGGCTACCATGAGGACGACGTGAGTTAATACAGCATATCCTTTAAAACAATGTCTTGCATACTGTAAACCTTTAATAAATGTTAACAATTGTTTTGGCTATCATTAGTTTTATAGGACGTACCCTCCTCCATCACTAAATGCCCAACCTTGTTTCATTTCCTGACACTTTACAGGCTGTCATTTTGACAATTCCGAAAACCCAGGCAAAACTCTGGGCCCCCTGATCTCCTCTAGTTGACAGCTAACTAATCTGATCGTTTATCTAGTCCAGGTGAATTGCATTGCATGGGTTGGTGTGTTTTCTTCTTGTATTTTAACATGGGCTTCTCCCATGGTAATAACTCCCATGGTGGTGATTATACAGTTCAGTGATTTCAATGAAAGCAGATGAAAGTGAAACAATTCTGATAGAAGCCCAAAGATTTACAGAAGATTCCTGTTGAGAGCTAAACAAATTAGTCTATGGTGATTGAAGTGCCTATCTATACATCCCAGAAAAATGGGTAGCAGAAAAACCACCTGAAAATAACACAACATGCTTACATTGCCTGTTGGTACCTGGGCCTCTTATACCATTGAGACTTCACTCTGGCCTGCTCCTGCTATTAAGTAAACAATGTCAGACTGTTCGCTAAATTATTTCAGTATTCCCACACAATTAAGAGATATTTTAGGACAGTGGGATCTTTCCATTCCTCTTCATTTGCACAGCTGTCTTCAAACTTCTGCATTCCCTGACATGTGTAGGATGTGGTGTACAAGTTAATCCAGCCAAAAGATATCTAGGAGCTACTATTTCAAGGCCCTGGCATTAGGAAACAGCTATGTCTACAAGGAACCTTTTCAGCTCATTGGTATGAGTAAAAACTAGGGTGTATGTGAGAGTAGAATGGGATTCAACCAAGGAGGTATTAGGAGACAACGGAAGAAAGCAGTGTCATGTCTAGGAGTTTAGACTTTGTTCTGTTAATGATGGGAGGCCATTGAAGAATATTAAATAGAAAAGTGGCTTGATCAAATTTGTAATTTTAGAAAGATTGCCCTTTCAAAATTATTGTTTTATTTATTTATTTTTTATTATACTTTAAGTTCTAGGGTACATATGCACAACGTGCAGGTTTGTTACATATGTATACATGTGCCATGTTGGTGTGCTGCACCCGTTAACTCATCATTTACATTAGCTATGTCTCCTAATGCTATCCCTCCCCGCTCCCCAAACCCCACAACAGGCCCTGGTGTGTGATGTTCCCCTTCCTCTGTCCAATTGTTCTCATTGTTCAATTCCCACCTATGAGTGAGAACATGTGGTGTTTGGTTTTCTGTAGGGACATGGATGCAGCTGGAAAACGTCATTCTCAGCCCTTTCTAAATTATAACTCCAATAGAGTAACTATAGTACCAACAGAAGAACTGCCACATGTGACCTACTAATTCCTAGTAGAAATTCCAGTATTATAATGATAGAGCAAAAACTTTGCTAGGTAAACTCAGAGAAAAGCAAAAATACTTCTAGCTGTTGGAATCACAACAGACTTTTTGGATAAGATGGCATTTTAGTTTGCACTTCAGGATAACATTTCAGTATAGAGTGTGGTATAGAAAGGCTTTCCAAAGCAAGAGGGAAGCATGAGCAACATTGAAGTGGTGAAGCTCAGGCCATGGAAAACCACATATAACTCACTTTACTGGAGTTTTATATTAGTATTAGTAAAGGACAGTATGAGAAATCATGTTGGAAATGTAGAGGCAGATTATAAAGGGATTTGAGTGTAAAATTAATGAGTTTGGAATGTATTCTATAGGTAATTGGGGAGCATGGAAATATTTGCACAGAGGAATGACATGCATAATGCCCCTTTTTAGAAAGATTCCCCTGGGAACCAAATGTAAGCAGATGGGGGTAAAGGACATCAAGAAGGGTGAAAGATTAGGAGAATAATGATGGAGTTATCGTTAACACATCAGTTGATAGATACTGGAGACTGGAACAAGAGTTGTGCAACAAAAAATAATCTATAAGATGTGACAATGAAATGATAGACAATGTTTAGGTATGTTTTTGACTTTTTGAGGAAGAGACTTTCTTTCTCCTCTCCTCTCCTCTCCCATCAGCCAGATGCTCGCAGGAATGCTTGGTGAAAGGGTTCCTTTTCTATGGGAGCTTCTGGACTGAGACAATTTTTCTCTCTCTCTGATTAGCACTTCCTTTTTCATTGATGCTGCCAGTATTTTCAATTGCTCCATTTCTATTACTTCAACTCAATTCATGAGAGTTGAATTGAATTGAGTATAGAGGATAAAGATTTAAGTCAGACAAAACTAGGTTCACACTCTGCCTCTGCCTCCTGCCAATTGTAACCTTGGACAAGCCTCAATTTTCACATTGATAGAATGAGTAGAGTTTGTTAAGTTGAGAAATTCATTCATCCATTTCCCCTTCCTCACATCTCATTTTGTCCCTGGACATTTATGCCTTGGTGTTCTTGTCATTCTACTTTCTTTCTGACTTACAGATTGCTTTGATCCTTTGCTTTTGACATGTCTCTACAACATTAAAGATTGTTAGTACTGTCTCCATTTCTTAAAAGAAGAACTTGAGGCTCAGAGAGGCTAAGCAGCCTGTCCCAAGTCACCCAGCAAATGGATGGCAGAGCCAGAATTTGAACCCAGATGTGACCAGGCAACCCAACCAATGGTCTTTTTTATATGTGGTGGTTTTTCCACTTTTTCAATGCCAACCTGAAGAAGCTAGTGAACAAGGGTGACCAGCTCAGTGGGCTGTTGGGGGCTGAATCCAGCCCATGTTCTGCTTAGCAAGCCATGTGCCCTGGCATGGGGCCATGTTGCCATAAAGAGAGGTGCCTTTTCTAATTCTCACACATACCAAAAGAGCTACTAGAAGGAGACTGGCTCCCTGCTGTTATGTGACAAACATGCCTCCTCCAGAGCCAACTTGGAATTACATCTACAAGTTGGCATGATTGCTACTGTGTACATGGGTGCTCTCCTACTGGCTGGCCTCATTAATATCCTCTCTTTTAAGTTAGGGTAAAGGAGAAATTATTCGCCTTTGGGTAAATGCATAGTAATTTTGCTGAGTCACGGGATATTGAGGTAGAGTGGAGTCAGAGAATGTCCTGCTAATTTACTCTGTATTTGGGAAAGCCAACTCCAGGTTTCAGAACAGAGAACCAAGAATCCATTACGGTAGATGTCACCTGTTTCTTAACACTGCATTTTCATTGTTGATTACTTTTATGAACTGGCTATTTTCTTTCACATGGATTTGTTTTGCCAAGCATGGATAACTAAGTTATTGATAAATAAAAATAAATTTGTTTACTAGTTAAAGTCAGATCCTGCCTTTCACTTTATTTATTCATTTGACAATCTATTTAAATTGTCACACTTGAAAACATGAAGTAAATGTCAACATTATTTTAAAAGATATGCTCCTTTTATGAGTGTATGCTGCTACTATTATTAAATTATTATGGGGACATTTACACAGGAAGAATTACAATTTGGCAATTTAAATTAATTATCTAGGGTATTATCGAAGTGTCCTAGTGATTGTGATAAAATGAAGAAGAGTCTGGAATCAATTAGATAATATGTATAAGGCTTATTATTACTTTCCAGACCTAAATAATTGAGAAGTGTGGTTTGAAGTAGTTTAACATATTGTTGTCCTTCCTTTCCCTTCCCTTTTTCTTCTTCCTCTTCTTCTTCTTCCTCCTCCATCTTCTCTCCCTCTCCCTCCTTCTCTTCCTCTTTCCCTGCCTCTATCCCTCTTTTCCTCTCTTGGGCATGAAGCGGAGTATGAAATCTTGGTACTTCATATATTCCATTAATATTCCATGGAATATCAAATATTCCATTAAATAAAGATTATATCTGCCTATATAAGACAATCATTTTTAAACTCAGAATTTAATAAGCTATGAACAGTAGGAATTTACTTGATCTAGTTTTCTAGATATAGTATAAGATCTTAAAGTGAATTAGATTTTAAGTGAATAAATGCTAGTTATTACTGTTCTTTAGTTGTAATATCTGGTTAATAAAGAATTCCAGAAGAAATGTGTGTTTATTTTTACTGTAAATGGGTGTTTCCAAAGTTTTAAGAACTAAAAAATATCTTTTTAACTTTATATCTAGTTTATTATGCTAATATTATAAAACTAGTAGCTGTGAAGCAAAGGAACTTGCTGGCAACACTGCCTGAAATTCCACTAGTAAAGATTCATTTATGTGGGTTAAGCTTTTGTCTATAGAAAGAATTCATTAAAGGATTCCAGAAGGAATGGCTCAAATCTGTATGAGTCACTAATTATGACAGTAATAATAATTACATTAATTTATATTTTAATTACATAATATTTTCATGTGTACTAGATGCTAGGAACTGCACTAATTGTCTTTTAAACATGACCTACTAACTTTACAACAGCCCTGCCTATAAGAACATTTTTCAATTTTATAGATGAGAAAATTTATAATAATAGAAATTTAAAACTCTCCTAAGGTATAGAATGTGTTTGAATCCAGAATGAAACACATGTATGCCTCACTCCAAAGCCTTACAAATTTCCTGTGGGAACTAGTTTCTCAAGGGGCATTCTAAAAAACACCCCAATTAAGGGTTTCTGGGAAAAGCCATTAAGAGGTGCATTGGAAGGATTACATACCTAATAACAAGCCTCATGATTTCACTAAGGACCAACACTGAGCAGATGTCACCTAATACTGTGCAGTCCTTCTTTGAACTACCTCTTTCTCCACTTTTGATATCCACGTCTATAAGATTTGATGGTTTTAAATTATCTTGTAGGTGTTGTTTGGTGACAAAATGTTCCACCCTCATACATTGTTTGACAAATTCATTGCCACCAAAGTGTGCAGTCGGAAGCTATTCCATCGTATTTGCAGCAACTTCCTATTTACTCTGAGTGGATTTGATCCGCAAAACTTAAATATGGTAAGTGTAAGTAATTGGGTCTGGGAAAACATTTGTTTTGTTGCACAGAGGTAATGAAAGTTCATTCTGGAGTATATGGCAACTGCAATTCGAGGTTTCCTTTTTGCTTTTGGAATGTTATCAGTACATTCATGGCTTCCAGTGAGGGTTGAGAGTCCACTTGCTTTCACAGGAGGATTTGAGAAGAAAGCTTTACTGCCAACAATTCTCATCTCTTCTTACCTGAAACGTCCTTCACTTAGATAAAGGCTATGGGTTTGATATTTATCTTGCTGTGCTTGAGCCTTATGTCATATTCACTGAAGTAGAATATCAGGGGATGAGTTCAGACATTTGTATTTTTATTTTTACCAATTTTCCACTTTCACAGTTGATTTGGAAAGTTATTTTATGAACCACTTACTTTCTTAACCCAAAGGGATAAAAGGAGAGATGGTTCTTCAACAACAGCTACAAATTTATTGTTCAAGGGGTACTGAGAAGGATCAGTGTCAGCGTTCTTGTCAAGTAATGTCTAACTTAACTGAGATATTTTCCATGATGACCCAAGGAGTTGGGGGAGGGAGGAGGGAGAGAGAGGAGATGTGTTTGAAACCAGAGGTAGGATCAGGCTGAAGTTGGTCTCCACCTCTCTCACAGACTTCTGCCCAGAGCCTAATCTTCCAGTCAGTGGAAAGCACTGCTTAAAATATTTCTTGCTTTCAAGAAAGATTTATAAAAGACTTTTTATGCAAAACATGTCTTAGCCACTGCCTTTCTACATTCCTCTCTCACTTTCTCAATGTACAGTGGAAACTATGCTTGCCTATCACTTAGATGTAAGGATATATATATAGGTGAAAGCATATCATGTAGATAGAGCTGAGTAAAAAGACCTTGAAACAAACACAAACGAGTGTATTTTAAAAGCACCCTCTCAGCATATCCTAAGAGTTTGCTAAAGAAAGACATCACAAAATAACACCCTTGACTATTCATTGGCCCTTGCTGTCCATATGGACACCTTTTTTCAGATCACCTTTTGTCTTCCTGCCAAAAAGCAAGGCTTACAGAATATTACAGCACCTTCACGGACATTTGTTTCAAAGAACCATAACCAGGGGTGCATAAGTAATATTGGTGGAACTTTGGAAAAATACACATGTCCAGAACTCAACCTTTGAGATTTTGATTTGTATTCAGTACATTTGGATAGCTTAATAAGTAGGTTAAAATATTTTTAAAGCCCTAAGATGTTTCTGATGCTTACTGTGGTTGAAAATAACTCTTTTTATTTTAAAAACAGTGCAGTTGAAAATATAAGAGAATCAAGAGTTTGTGTGCGTGTTTTGTTTTTGTTCTTGTGTGTGTGTGTGTGGTTGTTTATCCATAAGATATCTAAATAAACCGACTGAATTAATTATGCCACACAAACTTTCAGAGTCCTGTAGAATATTTACCACATTTTAAAATTCAGAAAACAAAAGGTAACATTCAGATCTATTATTAGCGCCTTAGGGTCAACAGCTCCCTTTGAATGTCCTTTGGGACTTAACATGGGGTGAAGGAGAAGATCACTGGGGTTTTTATCCTTTAATCTCCTATACCCTTGAACCTATGGGAGTTGAGTCTGGAAAAAGATTTCCTTTTGTCTTTGCCCAGTGGGATTCCCCCTGTAGGTTTGAGGACAGGACGGAGTCGGTGGAGGAAAATGTTCTTCTAAGATGGGCTTCTTTGGTTAATATGTCTTCAGATTATATGGTACATGTTTTTTTCCTTAAAGAAAGGGAAAAGAGGCTGGGCGTGGTGGCTCACACCTGTAATTCCAGCACTTTGGGGAGGCCAAGGCAGGTAGGAGATCAAGACTACCCTGGTTGACATGGTGAAACTCCGTCTCTACTAAAAATACAAAAACAAAATTAGCTGGGCGTGGTGGTGCACACCTGTAGTCCCAGCTACTCGGGAGGTTGAGGCAGGAGAATGGAACCCAGGAGGTGGAGCCTGCAGTGAGCTAAGATCGCACCACTGCACTCCAGCCTGGGCAACAGAGCGAGACCCCAACTCAAAAATAAAAATAAAAAAAGAAATAAAGAAAGGGAAAAGAGGAAAAGAAGAAACTTTTAAAATTTCTCTCAAATGTTTACTTGTGGTATGATGATATGATTAGCCTTTAAATGAGAAGTAATCTCTTTGCAGAGTCGCTTGGATGTTTACTTGTCACACAATCCTGCGGGAACATCTGTTCAGAATATGCTGCACTGGGCCCAGGTACGTGCTTCTTATTCCTGCTTGATGCACACATACCTCTGTCTTATTCCTGCGTGATGCACACATACCTCTGCAAGACCCTCAAGGAGTGCTCTCAGAGAGCTCACTGCAGGGTTCTGCAGGCACCTGCCACTGTCACATTGATGTTTTTGGAATCAGCATCAACTCTTCATTTTTATTTACTTCATTCCCACTTCTTCTCCTTGTCCTCAGTGTCTGGGTTTTGAGCATGGTTCTCAGATATTCTGACTGAGTTCTGATCCTTAGATTATTCCAAACTGCATTTCAAGGGAAGGCTTTTATTTCCTCTTTCAGACAGTCATCAACTCTAATAGAACTTTATATAAAATGATGCATCTTATTCCAGAAAGAGCTGTTCATCCTCCAATCAATATATGGGGCATTTGAGAATGTGGAAACGATGCTTTATTCAGAGCAAACTGAAAGCTAGGGAAGAACTAAAATGGATTTATGGCTTATGTTTTTATCCTCAGTTAAAGTTTTATTTGTTTTATTTTGTTACTCAATATACAGAAAGCTCAGAGATAAGTCTAATTCAATTGGTTTGACTTTCTGAGCCTTGTGTGTGTCTTTGTGTATGCATGCACACACATGTGCACGCACATTCATTTGTTTATTATGTAATATTTGCCTATATTCTTGGCTGATGGCAGTCACAACGCCTTTTGAAAAGTGAACAAAATATAAATAATTCTATGACTGGGAGAGGGTTGGTGTCTTCTTAAAGGTTTAATATATCTGAGACCCCCCCCCAGGAATTTGCATTTTAATATATACCCTAACAAATTTGCTCCTTGTTTTAGACAATCAGTACTATAGATAGCCTGAAATACTAGGTGAGAATTTCTGAAATACTTGGAAGAGTTTGACCTCCAGGATATAAGGCTTCAAGTTCCTTTAAGAAGAAAGATGTTCAGGATATAGGGCTTCCTACTGATGAGGAGACAGATAAGTCCTCTTATGAGCATGACCTTCCAGGTAGTACACGTTTAATTTCACAGTTTTTGAGCACTTAATGTATGCTCTTCTTGCTGCTCATACATGTGATTTTATTCAGTCTCACTGAATTATTATGACAACTTTTTAGTAAAGGCATTGATATCCCCCCACTCTACAAATGTCATAGCATGTTATTTATTTATTTTTTGAGACAGGGTCTCAAAAAAAGCATGCAGTGGTACTATCATTGTACCCAGGCTGGAGTACAGTGGTACAATCATGGCTCACTGTAGCCTTGACATGCTGGGTTTAAGCAATCCTCCCATCTCAGCTTCCTGAGTAGCTGGCACCATAGGCATGCACCACCATGCCCGGATAACTTTTGATTCTTTGTACAAAGATGAGGTCTTGTTTTGTTGCTTAGGCTGGTCTTGGACTGCTGGACTCAAATAGTCCTCCCACCTCAGCCTCCCAGAGTGCTGGGATTATAGGCGTGAGCACTGCGTATGGCTGCCTATTCCTTATACATTTTACAATTGACTTCACTTAAGAAAAACTTTTCCCCTTTGACAGAAAATCCTCTTCAGGATAGAAATAAGTGGGGATGGTGGGGGCATGGTAAATATTTGGTTATAAGTTACATAGGCAGCTAAGGTAAAAGTGATGATCATGATGATGGTAGTAATCCTAGTGAAAAAAAGGTGTTTGTTGGGTATTACTAGGTGCTACATGCTTTATAGATGTTACCATAATCTTCACAATCCTAAGAAATAGTGTTACTATCATTCTCATTTCACAAATATCTTGCTTTGAATCACAGATTCAGTAGTCTATTAAGCCTGGATACAAACAAGGTGTATTAGTGTCTTTCACACTACTATGAAGAACTACCTGAGACTGGGTAATTTATGAAGACAAGAGGTTTGATAGACTCACAGCTCCACAGGTTGTACAGGAAGCATGGCTAGGAGGCCTCAGGAAACTTACTATCACAACGGAAAGCAAAGAGGAAGCAAGCACGTCTTACCATGGCGGTGCAGGAGACAGACAGCATAAAGCGGGAAGTGCCACACACTTTCAAACAACCAGATCTTGTGAGAACTCACTCACTATCACGAGAACAACAAAGGGGAATCCCGCCCCCATGATTCAGTCACCTCCCACTAGGCCCCTCCCCTGACACGTGGGGGTTACAATTAGAGATGAGATTTGGGTGGGGACACCCCCACTAGGCCCCTCCCCTGACACGCGGGGGTTACAATTAGAGTTGAGATTTGGTTGGGGACACAGAGCCAAACCAAATCAGCAGATTTGATCCTAGAGCCCAAGTTCCTAAGTACTACATCCTATTGCCTCCCATTTCTAAAAGCTCGCAGAATTTCAACAGCAGCAGACTGCTGCCTCTCTGAATATAAATCATGATGGGAATAATTTTAAACTAAAAATCAGGACTAAATTAGTAAGTGGGAAAAATATCTGAGATTCAAGCTAAGAAAAGAAAACACAGAAGAGTCTGAGAATAATTTAATGAAGTGCTTGACATAAATGTCAAAGTTATCTGCCTCATCGATCCTTCGTGGGTGGCAAATAACAGAAAAATGAAATGCTGTATATATGAATGTCCTTATATTCTAATACTTGAAGTTTCAATACCAAAATGCAAAAGTAGTCATGCACAGTGTCTCAGTCAGCCCATGGCTACGTTATGCACATCACAGCAGGTGGCTTGCCCTGGCATATGGGAGGCAGACAGCAGCCATGTACCTCACACACAACTGGGAAAGCTCAGTAGGTGAATATTTCTTTTAATAGTGAAAACAATGTTTAAGGATAGGGAATATAATCATAACAGCTTAGACCACATCATGAGGATAAGGTACAAAGTTGTATAATAACAATAGCAGTAATAATTTTTAAATGTAAGAAATTTATAGTTAATGCCTTTAAAAAATTATTTAAATTCCTGAAGCAAAGATATTCAAGAATCATTCAATTTTGCATCTTTAAAAAATATTTCTGTGTGCAGCATGATAACATTTAAAGGCATTGGATTTAAATGAAAAAATCTGATGATTTTCATTGGAAAGATACAGGAATGAGTAAAAGATTGTACCAATTCTGTGAATTACGGTAAGAGTTATCATTTTTTATTACTTATTTTCTTAATCTTTATTGAAATTTAGCTTACATTTCTGAAGAGTGGGGCATAATGTTAATCTTCTTTGTATATTTCTTCTGTCTGTCTTTAAATGTACACTATTTTCTTATATTATTTTAATGTGTTCATTTTATTTTAGGCTGTTAATTCTGGTCGGCTCCAAGCTTTTGATTGGGGAAACTCTGATCAGAACATGATGCACTTTCACCAGGTACAAAAATAATCCTCATAATCAGTTCCATGCTGCAAATGAACTAACAAAAATAGTATCCACTCATTAAGCACCTGCCACTTCCATTTACCACACTGGATATTGCTTATTGCTGTTCTCACAAGCTGCTTATTGGGTTCTTGCCATGTGCCACATCATTATTTCTAATTCTTACAAGGACATTGCAAAGTAAATATTATTATCCCTATTTTTTTCAGAGGTTCAGAGAGGGTAGGTAAATTACCAGAGTTATTCAGCTAGTAAACAACCAGAGAGAGGGGCTCAAGATGGGCAACTAGACACAGCCAGGAAGAGCTTCTCCCATTAAGAGACAAGACCATCAAGAAGATTGGAACACTCTGAGCAGATCTTCAGAAGAAAGGCATTGAGAGTGAATGGAGGTAGGATGCTGAGCCTGGGCTAGAGGGAGGATTCTGGGAAGCCTGCACGGGGTTGCTGAGCACCAGGACTCATTCCAGGCCCTGAGTAGCTCCTGGGGAAGAGGTGAGTTAAATAGCAGTACAATGGCCCACTCTTACTATGGACATAGCTGCAGGACACCCCACAACTCCCATAGACATTTGAGCTAGTAGGCAGAGCTGCTTGGAGAGTTGGCAGGGACAGGACTCTTGCCTGTGCAAAGCCAAGAGGGTTTGGTGCAGGAAGAGCTGCAGTGAAATACGGCCAGTGACATCCATTCCCCAAGGCTCGCCAAGCTCCTCTAGGTGGCATTGGCCTTTGTTGACTGTTGAACCTAAACAGAACAGGGCTATCTTACCCATGGGATGGGGCCAGTGTGATCTCAGCACATCCCTGTCTGCTGGCCTCTCTCAGGTTTCCTGCCTGGCTGCACCCGCTTGCAGCACAGCCTCACATGCCCAACCAGGGTGCTTCCCCAGTGGTCACTGCCATACCTCCTTCACTGGCAGATTCTGCCTAGCCATAGGAGAGCTTTTGGAGATGGGCCCCTACCAATGTGAACATACTTGCAGTCTCCCATGACTGCTTTGCAAGCATGCATGTGTGCAAACCTTACCACCACCACTGCTACGATGAAGTGCTTTTGCCCCGCCTCCCATCAGAGTGTTGTTGCCAGTATATGAGGAACATCTCAGCCTCTCCGGTACAGTAGTGGCCAGAGAACAAAGCTTTGCACATGGTCCCACCTACCAAGGTTATAGCACACAGCCCAGGAATGCTGAGCTGAGCGTTGGCACCCTGAAGTCATTCAGAAATGAAGCCAGTCAACTAAACACAACTTGTATCAAGGGCTTCAAAGAACATAAGAGCAAAAAGCCTCATCCAAAGGACAGCAACTTCAAAGATTAAAGGAATATCGGCCAAAACAGTTGAGAAGGAATCAGTGCAAGAACTCTGGAAATTTGAAAAGGCAAATGACCTCTAAATGACCACACTACTTTTCCAGCAGTGGTTCTTATCCAGATGGAAGTGACTGAAATGACAGATACACAGTTCAGAATCTGGATAGCAACAGAGATCACTGAAATTCAGGAGAAAGTTGAAACTCAGTCCAAGGAATCTAAGGAATCCAGTAAAATAATTTAACAGCTGAAAGATGAAATAGCCATTTTAAGAAATAACCAAATTGATATGATAGAGCTGGGAAACTCACTATAGGAATTTCATAATATAATCAGAAGTATTAATGGCAGAATAGTATGGCAGAATTTCAGGAAAAAATCTCAGAGATTGAAGACTGGTTATTTCAGTGAACCCAGTCAGACAAAAATAAAGAAAAAGAATTTTAAAAATGAACAAAATCTGGAGAAAATATGGGATTATGTAAAGACACCAAACCTACAGCTCTCTGGCATTCCTGAAAGAGAGGGAGAGAGAGCAAGTAACTTGGAAAACATATTGGATGATATTGTCCATGAAAATTTCCCTAACCTCACTGGAGAGGTCAACATTTAAATTTGGGAAATTCAGAGAACCCCTGCAAGATAGTATATAAGACAACCATCCCCAAGACATACAGTCATCAGATTCTCCAAGGTCTATGTGAAAGAAAAAATATTAAAGGCAGCTAGAGAGAAAGGGCAGTTACAAAGGGAACCTCATCAGGCTAACTGTGGACCTTTCAGCAGAAACCCTACAAGCCAGAAGAGATTAGGGGCTTGTATTCAACAGCCTTAAAGAAAAGAAATTCCAACCAAGAATTTCACATACAGACAAACTAAGCTTTATAAGTGAAGAAGATATAAAATATTTTTCAGGCAAAATTGCTAAGAGAATTTATTACCACCAGACCTGCCTTCCAAGAGGTCCTTAATGGAATGCTAAACATGGAAATGAAAGACTGTTACCAGATACTACAAAAGCACACTTAAATACATAGACCACTGACACTAGAAAGCAGCTATACAATCAAGCCTACATAACAACCAGCTAACAACACAATGACAGGATCAAATCTACATATATCGATATTAACCTTGAACGCAAACAGGCTAAATGCCTCACTTAAAATGCAAAGAATTGCAAATTGCATAAAGAAGCAAGACCTAACTGTATGCTACCTACATGAGACCTATCTTGCATGCAATGAAACTCGTAGGCTCAAAGAAAAGGGACGGAGAAATATCTATCAAACAAGTGAAAAGAAAAAAGACCAGGGGTTGCTAATCTTGCTTTAGACAAAACAGAATTTAAATAAACAATTATCAAAAGGAACAGAGAAGGGCATTAAATAATGATAAAGGGTTGAATTTAACAAGAAGACAACTATCCTAAATATACATGCACCCAAGACAGGAGCACCTAGATTCATAAAACAAGCCCTTAGAGACCTACAAAGAGACTTAGATAATCACACGACAATAGTGAGAGACTTCAACACCCCACTAACAGTACTAGACAGATCTTTGATGCAGAAAACTAACAAAGATATTTGGAACCTAAACTTGACACCTAACCAAATAGACTGAGCAGACATCTGGAGAACACTCTACCCAACAACAGCAGAATACATACTCTTCTCATGTGCACATGGCACACACTCTAAAGTCGACCACACACTCAACCATAAAGCAATTCTCAACAAATTAAACAAAAACTGAAATTATACCATATACACTCATGAATCACAGTACAATAAAAGTAGAAACTAAATACCAAGACAATCCATCAAAACCATGCAATTATAAGGAACGTAGACAACCTTTTCCTGAATGACTTTTGGGTAAATAATGAAATACAAGCAGAAATCAAGAAATTCTTTGAAACTAATCAAAACAAAGATACAATATACCAGAATCTCTGGGACACAGCTAAAGGAGTGTTAAGAGGAAAGCTTATAGTGCTAAACAACCACGTCAAAAAGTTAGAAGTATCTCAAATTAACAACCTAACATCACACCTAGAGAAACTAGAAAAACAAGAGCAAACCAACTCCAGAGCTAGCAGAAGAAAAAATAGCCAAAATCACGGCTTAACTGAATGAAATTGAGATGCAAAGAAATACACAAAAGACCAACAAAATCACAAGTTGGTTCCTTGACAGAATAAATAAAATTGATAGGCTGCTAGCTAGACTAATAAAGAGAGAAGATTCAAATAAATATAGTCAGAAATGACAATGTGGACATTACCACCACCCCACAGATACACAATAATTCCTCAGAGACTATCATTATCACCTCTACACACTGGAAAATCTAGAAGAAATGCATAAATTTCGGGAAGCATAACACCTCCAAAGATTATATCAGGAAGCAATTGAAACCATAAACAGATCAATAACAAGTTCC